CTAGCTTACAAGTATTTACACTGCCAGGGATGAACACTTCAGATTGGGGTTGAAACTGGTTTATAACTAAAGCCAGCCAGTTGTTTTGTGTCTGATGTCACTGAAAACTTCCCTGGTGATTGGTTAAGCCCTAAAGAATGAATTATTATTACTGTGTTGCCTGATAATCAAGAGGATCACGTTTTGTTTATAACTGTTATTCATACTCTTTAAAAGCAACATCATCCGCAGATAAGTCGTACTGAAAACTGAGTGCTAACTTGAGTTTTCCCATCACACAAATACACAGACAGCTAAAATACACAAATACAGACATGCGTGCCCACACACACTTTTTTTTTTTTCTTCCATCTAGTTTGCTCTCTTTCACACACAGACAGACAAACATCGTTGTTTCTCACAGTCTTGTCTTGCTGTTGTTTGATTTACTCAGTGACCTCTGTCCCTGGCTGAGCTGAGCTGGATGGACTCTTGGCCCTGTTGCTGCTCCAACTGGTTCATTTCCACCATAACCCCACTGGACCTGTGTGTGTGTGTGTGTGTCTGTGTGTGTGTGTGTGTGTGTGTGTGTGTGTGTGTGTTTCTAGATACACATCTTCACGTGCTAACGATCCCTGTTTCAGTCTTTGGTCCAAAAAGCACAAGTGTTATAGATAATAATACCTCTCTGTTATTTTAGCTGTGTAGGTTCCATAAAACAGGCTTTTAGTTCAATGTTTTTTGTAATATTTGGGTCGAAAGAAGCGTCTAAATAACAGTTCAACTGGTTTAAGCTGTCTTTATGTAAATCTGCATGATGAAAACCACTTGTAAAACACGCCACATTAGTGCTTACAAGCTGTTAACTGACCTTTAAGTGTTATTAATTTCCTCTTGTAGTTAAAGGCAGGGTTGATAATTTTCTCCAGATACACTTGAAATTGTCTTTAGGCCCTGACAGAAATGAATAATTAATGTGTTCTGAAAAAGGAATGAAAAAATCTGTCTTCTGTAGCAGTTTTAAGCCTGTAAAAACTTCAACCAATGTCTGCAACGGGGTACCAATTTGATGAACCAATCACGCGCCCCTGTCTTCCTGCTCGTTCTTTTCCCCTTGCGTGTAATAGCCCTTACTCAAAGCCTGTCACCGATTTTGGAGTTTATACTCTGAGTTAGTCACTGGCCATTGAGAGTAATACATTTGTTATGATAAAGTTTAGTGTTTAGTTACTGCTAAATGAGACAACAAAGTTACTTTCTACACAATACAAGCGATGAGCTGAGGTGTGTTTCTGGAGCAACGGCACTCGTGCATGTAAGTGAAATAACAGTATTTTTTCTTCTTGTAAAACATTTCAAATGACTCATCCTGCACTCTAGGGCGTTTACTAATTTTTCACCCTATTAAAAATCCTTAAAGAAGCTAACAAACCAATTAAATTCATCTCAACGTTGTCCCACTTTCTGTCTTGTGATTGGTTCTATCCGTTCTTTCCCATTTCAGTAGGAAATACATCATGACCATAGACTGTAGACATCCAGAGGCCGCCATGCTGGAAATGCTGTCTAATTCTAACTTTCAGTCAACCTAATGACAGGCTGAGAACCGGAGCTGAGGCGGGTTTTCAGCCTCTTGACAAACCGTTACATCGCGCCCACCTGTCAATCATGTCAGCTACGCCCTTAACTATGGATAACACATACCATTTTCAAAATCAAAATGGAGCCGTTTAAAAACAAATTCACTCTCCGTACAGTGTGTACCAGTGATGAAAATAACTAATCACACCTATTTTGTTTTTTGTACCAGGCTGTAAACATGTTTATTAATGCTGTAAAAAAGGCTTTTTCGCCTTTTGTGTGTATGTGCCTTCCAGTGTTCCTGGAGCCAGCCTCAAGTGGACACTCGACGAACTGCAGGATTTTGCACTTACCATCATTTTTCAAGACCAGAGGTTGCCCTTTCTTTATTAGTTCATTTTGGTTTTCACACCACAACTCCTATTCTCTCTGTCTTATGTTAGATTAGTCATCTTCACGGTGGCCTTTACAAATCCGATAATCATTTGTTTTCTTTTTTTAAAGATTTATTTTTGGGCTTTTTGGGCTTTAATGGAGAGATGGACAGTGGATAGAGTTGGAGATCAGGGAGAGCGAGAGAGAGGGAATGACATGCAGGAAAGGAGCCACTGGCTGGATTTGAACCCGGGCCACCCACGTTTAGGACTATAGCCTCCGTACATAGGGCGCACGCGCACTAACCACTGCGCCACCAGCGCCCACTGATAATCCTTTCTTTTAGAAATCTATATCCTCTGAGGATATTTTCATGGCCTTTATCTCTCTGTCTCTGTTGATCTGAATCAATGTCTGAAAAGCTTAAACAAAACATTGTGCTGATATATAGAATATCTTCCTGGATGATAAGAAACAACTAAATCTGTAGTAAATAAATCTGTCAGTGCTTCTTTGTGCAGATAAATCATGAAGGAATGTTTTTTCTTCATACTTCTTTGATGGCTGCAGTCTTTATTTAAACATATGTTTCATCTTTGAAGGCTGTTCATACTGTAGCTCCAAGTTTTTAAACAGATGTTTGCTGCCTTGCAGTGCCAAAGCACCAAGCTTTAGTAATATCACTGTGACTTACAAACTTCTAAAGTCAATCGTTTGACATCACAGTATAAAGGCTCTGGCTTTCCTGCTAGAAGAAGGTGAGAAGAACAATTCCACTTTTTTTGGTGGTCAATATTATGCTGTAGGGATTATGGATTGTGACTTTCCAATTATAATCAGTGATAATCCTGGTTTCACGATTACAAGGCTTTGCTGCAGTCCCTCTGCCATTGTTAAGCTAATGTAGCGTAGTTAGTGTCACTCTGTTTGCATTCTGTGCAGGTTGCACCGAAACTGATATTACAGCCTCCTTTTTGCGAGTGAGAACAGAAACATGCAGTGTAGCAGAGCCTTTAGGATTAATTAACCATGATGTTTTAAACCTTGGTTAAGCGTAAAACAGGCTCATCCCTATGAGCTAAAATTAGCAAACAGTTAATTTAGCTTAAAGAAGTAGAAAACAGCCAGCCTGAGTTTTGTTAGACCACATAAACTACGTTAGGTAATACCCCCACTCATCTTTAAAAAGGCGGTTGCTAACAAGTGGCTAAATGTGACTACAGTGGTTGTTGGGGACATTAAATGTCATCACGCCGGACACAGAGGCCGGGACCTCTCTCACTAGTCGGAGATGTCTACTAGCATAACGCTAGTGACGTCACAATCATCCGACGTGGTGTAGTTCGCTTGTAGCATAACGTTAGCTTTTTACTTCTGTCGGCCGCATTAACGCTTCAAACATCATAAAAATGGTGTTCATCTGTGTAGATTATCCTGCTGAACAAAACGCCTACGCTTCAGAAACGTCTGTTTGCCACAGAGTTTATTGATTTTGGATTTATATCCAAAATCCAATGCAAAAATCCCATAGGCAAATTCTCGTTAGACCCCATGGCGATGCTACTTCCGGGTTGGCCTACAAAAATACGTCATATGGTTTGTTCTCTATATTTGATCCTCCAACCTCAATATATTGTGTTTACCGGCGAGCATGAATGATTACGTTTTCTGAAGGTTGGATAAAGCCAGGCTAGCTTTTTAGCCCGGTTTTCTGTCTGTTGCTAAACTAAGCTAACTAGCTGTTGGCTAAAGTTTCATACTTAAGGTGCAGGTATAATTACAACATAACCATTTGCTAATATAAAGAATGTAGACAGGTGTAACCAGTTCTTCATTTCTTAATATTTTTCAAAACAACCCCACTTAAAAAACTTGCTTGGTTCAGCCCACCTGTGAAGACGCTACTGCAAAGCACCACTATAGCACACGTACGACTCTGCATGGGTCATTAAGTTAGCGCTTTTCCTTGTTGTGCAACACACTTGCAAGCCTCAGTCCCTTGTTCTCAGTTCCCTATAAGCCTTGATAAGGAAGTAGCCTGAATGTTTTTCTGTCCTTTCTAGCGAGAGTGACCTAAAAGATTGCGGGAGATGGGGGAGGTATGTGTTACAGTACAATAGCCAGTAAGTCTCTCGCAGTAACCACACCAAAGCACTGAGCACATGCTTATGGAGGGAGGCTAATCAGCTTTCTGTAGATGGGCTAATGTCCTTACAGTGGCTGAGAGGGGGGCCTATATTTAGCGTTCACTCTCTCCCTCTTAACAGGGGATAACATTGGCCCTGTGCTCCTCTCCATGGCTCATCTCTCACTGCGTGAATTCATTAGCAACCCCATGCAGTCACGGTGGAGAGGAAATGAGTGGGCACATAAAATGAAAGAGTGGGTTAGCATGTCAATATTGTGTTTACACATAATGACACAGTTTGTTAACATAATACTCATTTTCACTCAAAGAAAGAAATAAGTAACATTTGAAGAAGAAGAAGAAGAGATAAAAAAAAATCAGGACAACAAAGAGACAGACTAAAGAAAATAATATCAAAGAGATCATGAAAGAGACACAAAGTAAAATATTTTTTCCCAGTGTCAGCGGGGAAAGTGACATCTGGAGGCTGAGGCCTCTGGGCATTAAGAGAGACGAGACCTGGAGCCAATCTTTTCAGTCAGTTCCCATGTGTCCCTGGAGATCCAGGCTCCGCTGGTAGTAAGGTCTGTGCTTTTCATCAAATCTACCTGCCAGTGTTAAACACTCAGAGCTAATGAAGCCTGGCAAAGTGCACGATGACGGCTGTTGACAGTTGTTGACGTTCATCGTGACGTCTCTTTGAGGGGAAATCCGTTACGCTAAGCTGTCACTTGCTGGCATCTACCGTGGTGCCCTCTGGGATTGAGTGGGCACCTTAGGACATTGACCCGATGAGTCTGGTACCCAAACCTCAACGGTTGTGTATCATGGCTATCCTGAAGTTCAAGAAGGTGACACTTCTAGGAATCCTGTTATAATGTTGTGTGTGTATGTGTGCGGTGAGAGTGATGACAATAAAACTGAAACAAACAGCTCTTGTTTGATGGTCTTTTTCTCAATTTTAATTTTCAAGTTGATCAACTTGAATGCATTTATCATATCATTATTTTCATGTCCAAGCGGGACTGCAGTTAAAAACACACATTGAACAAGGAAACAATCTCTTTAGAGCAACAGAAAACCCATAAAACAGCTCAGAGCACACATACAATGAACACTAAGTAAATCTGCATCTTTACAAAGCCACTGTATCCGCCTGCACTGCTCTTCATCAGCCAAAAGTAAAACACAGACTCGCAAACACCAACAAAAAAAAGAAAAGAAAACTCAACGACACAGCTTTGAATCTGCTGCTACATCAGCCAAACACAAACTGTACAAAAATAGAGATTGATAGAAAAATAGGAGATCTGACGTGAGAGAATATGCTGAGTCTCTTGCACTTGTAGAGCTGAAAATGTACACCTGCTGTTATTTTCACAATAAAAACAAAAACTCTAAAGCCACCTTGTCTTATTGCCGTTGAAATGTGTCTGTTTTTTCCTCCCCACTTTTTTCCTCACTCTTTGGTGCTTTTTCGGTGCTAAGAGGAGATAAAAGGTGTGACAGCTTTTATCTGCTCATGCAGCCCATTTTTCCACACATCCTGAATCAACCTTATAAATTGGCCCAATATTTACTGTGCTAAAATAATCATGGAAAATTATAACAGGCGTCATGCAGCTCTTTTTTTTTTTTTTTTTTTTTGCAAAAATGTTTTTCTCTGCTGGGTGTCGGACTCTTCAAGTAGTTAAAGTTTACTCGACTTTCGAAAGTTGCTCTATTGCTACATCCTCCCATACATAATCCAACTTCCACCCCTCTGACCAACACACCGTTTGTTGTGTCAGCGCGTGGTGCAGATATTCTCTTCCTTTTTTTTTTACACATGGAAATAGTTTTACAGTGCATATAGCATGTTAACAAATGACTCTGAACTGAATTGCCATGTTAGCTATTTGATAAGAAAAATTTAAATGAATCAAGAGTAAATTTTTTCAAATGTTCCAGTGTCATGTTGTTCATCTTTTAAAAATCCATTTCAAACACTGCGGACCTTATCAGATATTATCAGAACTTAAGGGTGCTCTGGAGAGTTTTTGACTACATGTAGCTCAATAGATATGATTTTTGAAATGGGGGTTTTCATTGAGCATGCATGCCGGGATGCTAATGCACATGTGTATATGTCACCATCAATTTAAAAAACAAATGAGTAGTGGTACACAGAAGTGCACCCCAGTGCCTTTTAAAATAAAGGAGATTGATGTATACAAAGCACAGCTTGTTTTCATCACAAGATAACACTCAAGGGTTTTGTGACAAATACTATTAAACATAAGTTTCTGTAAGTCTGAAAAAAAAGCCAATCCCCTTTAGAGCATCTTTAAGAAGGCCTGATTTTTGTCTTTTTAAATCCATTCATTTAAAACCCATTATAGTCAAACTTTTACATACCCACACTTGTTGAATGTGTTTCTTTCCTCCTCATTAGATTGTTTTCCTCTTAGATAAAAAGTGTCTTTGGTTATCAAACAATGCCTGCTCCACTTATTTTTGCAATCCAATAAAAATTGCAGTTATGAGAAGTTAGTTTTCCCTTAAAGCCAATTCCACTTTATTTTCTGTAACATGTTTTTATCAAAATGATCATCTACTTTACTCTTGAAAGCATTTTGGATTCAATCTCCACCCCCCTACAGATGATGAGATTATGTTGTTACTTCCTTTTTAGTAATCAGGATGTGTGTTAGTCCAAAAGGACTGCAAACAAGAGCAAAGTCTTTAACTAAACATTGTCAAATAAAAGTCCCAAACAGCCCTCAGTGTAAGAGACCTTTCTCAGCATACTGCAGGTATAAACTGTTCCAAGGTACATTAATTATCACTTTTAAAATGTCATTTAGACAAATGGACAGCTCTCTGAAGAACCCCAAAATATATTTTCCCTTTAGGCTTCATCTAGGCACTTAAAGAAAATTATTCCTGTACAGAAATAAATCATGCATTGTTTTGTTGTTACGTTTTCCCCCATCAGGTTTCAGATGAAGTTAAGTATATCAAAGTAGATCTTTGGATTTGTAAACAGTATCCAGTTCCTCTTTTTGCATTGTCTGTGAAACTGTACATACACAGTGCACATGGAAAAGGTCACACGGTCTGTGTTCTTTAACTATAAATCAACATGTTCAGCACATCGTTTGTGTCCTCTGTTTCTCTCTGGGGCTTTATGTGAGTCTTTTCTGGTTTCTATAGTGCTTTTTATAAATGTTCATTTGAAATCTGTATTCCAGTGAGTCGTAACTCACACCAGAATAAGAGAAGCATCATCATACCCAGTATGCTGGTAACTCTGAGGCCGAGCTTCTGTTTGGTCAACCAAACGGATCTGGATGAAAGAATTGTTAAACTGATGAGCCGACTGTCTCTTTGGCATCCCTCCCTGTGGGCTCAGCTCTTCCTGCTGTGGCACCCTACAATAGGGAAAACCCTCTCTCTGGCCCGCTGCCTTGATCCAGATTCCTTGTCCTCATTCCTTTACTCCTCTCTTTTATTTATTATCTTTGTCTCATTTCACCTCCTCTTGTCTCATTACCCTGTCTCTTTTGACTTGTCTGAAGAGATAAAAGATCATTGTTTATCCCTTTTAAGGGGGTATGGGCTCCGTTTGTTATGCAAAAGTGCATGCATGTACACAAAGTTTAGTTGCAGGGCAACCAGGTGGCGTACATGGGATGTTGTGAAGTAGAAATGTAATGCTGAGGAGGTGAGGGAGGGCAGGGGTAGATAGGCTGAACCTGCGCTACATAGTAGTTGCTGAAGTTGCCATCAGAGACATAAGGAGCCGGCTGATAAAAGCATGTTACATTGGCAGCGTTGGGGATGGCGTTCTGCTCGGCCAGGACCCGCAGCGCCAGGGAAGAAATGAGACTCAGCGTTTGGCGCCTTTCGTGGCCCATCAGGCACACCGTACTCTCCTGCACCACGTCGTACAACGTGGCCAGGTAGTCATACTTCCTGTCCTCTAGGTCTACAAAGTGGTTCTGCAGATATGACTCCAACTTCCTCCTCTGCTCATTTACGTCAGGAAAGTCTATGAAAAAGCGGGAGCACATGTAGCGCTGCAGCAGTTTCATCTCGCTGTCCGACGCGGCGCGGAAACCCCGCACCAGCAGGTGGCAGTATTTCAGTAAACCCCCGCCACGGATCTCCTCAGGGCTTCTCGTGCAGATGAGTCGCTTGCGCAGGTGATCGAGAGCGGTGGGAAAGTCTCCATAGACGCTCTCCCCGAGGATTGTGGGGTGGAAAGTTGCCGCCATGGGGTGCTCTGAGCACTCGTAAAACAGGAGAAGTGAGTCCAGGCGGATCTGAAAAGAGTCCACGCTGAACTCAAACTGCCGTCGAAGAGAGTCCACAAACTTGAGCTCCACGTTCTTGCCACGGTTGTTGGAGAGTGAGATGAGGCTCCATCTGTCTGAGTCATTGCACACCTTCACCATCTTCTGCACATAGGCCTCCTAAAAAACATGCGCAACATTAGGTATCAGTACAGAGCGCTTGCTAAGTTTTAAATCAAAATCAAGAAATTCTCCTCAGAGCACAAAGTCAAAAACTATTTAGTGAGTTGATATTGATGGTGAATGTACTTGTGCTTGTATAGCGCTTTTCTAGTCTTCTGACTGTGGTGGAATTTCTGTAGTTATTTAGATTATAAATGTACAGATGTCATTAGATTTATTCACTGTTCTCTAATGTCAGTCAGACCTGAGAGAGTTCAGTTGTTATTAGAACACCAAGTACAGCTTGGAGAGTGTTACCTGTTTTTCCTGATATCTGCAAGGATGTTTGGTAGACGTATTGTCTGCTCCAGTGTTATAGACATCACAGTTTAGTCTAGGTGTGTCAATGTGACACGACCCTGATAATGATAATGTCTTTTAGGATATATGCGATGCCTTTCGAAAAGTTCTGCAGATGTTATTGAGCAAGACACGAGTACAGAAGTGTGATGTTGAATCATGTCTCCCCATGAGTATTCTTCTATGTATAAACTTTCATCAACGTAAGACATCTGAGTCAACTGAGTCTTATTGTGTGGAGTCAAGTCTTAATAATTAAAACTGACTACTCAAAGCACTTTTACACTGCATGTCACACCTACCCATTCACACACTGATGGTAGAAGTTTCTATGTAAAGTGACCATCAGAAGAAACTAATTAATTCATACTCCTGCAAATGACGAAGCAGCAGGAGCAATTCGGGGTTAAGTGTCTTGCCCAAGGACACATCGGACATGTTGCTGCAGGCACTAGGGGTTCCAACCCCCAAACCTTCCGGTTGAGAAACAACTGTCTCGACAGAGCCACAGCCGCACATGATGATGGCTTTGAAATGTATTGATACCTTAGATATAATAATTCATCACCGATATTTCATCCATTATTCATCACATATGAAGACCAGTTTATTCTTTTGATTTTCAACATTGAGGCCAATTCAAAGCGAAATTGGGTCAGATTGTTTTTTTTTCTATCACACAGAGGAATACTAACCACTATGTCTGCTTTCAAACTCCTCCTCCTCTCATTTCCTCCTTTCACAACTGTAATACAGTGCTAGTGCTCTTGCAAGGGAATTACAAAATCCCTTTTGCACGTAAACCATCAATGAAACTGATTTATAGGTATTCCCATCCATGATGAACTTTAGGCATGATTAGGCTTCCTCATGGGTCTTAAAATTGGAGATCCACCGGATAAAAATATTTTATATAACAGTTTCAGTTTGGGCAGGCTTGTATCTCCGGACAGTAATGCTATTTACATCAGATAAAAATCTTGATTTGTTCCGTTAGTCGCAATGTTTTGCTGATCAAATCTGTTGGTGGGCCATTAGCAGCCCGGGTAGTCCTCGGTATCTAGGTAACTGAGGGCCGACTTATTAATGTGGATCCAACTCCAATTGGATTAAACAGAATCCTCTTTGAATTGGAAACCGACCTTTTTACTATTTGAGGGCTTATACTGTATCTCCGTGCAGCCAGGTTAGATGAATTCAGGACAGATGTCAATCTTATTTATTTAATCTACCTATTGGTGTAATGTAAACTTCACACTGGAAATAGGCTATGTGAGTTGACTTGTTGCACTTAAGTTCAGAGGTGTGCGTGCGTAATGTATGAGAAAAAGGTTTGACAGCATTTTCACTTAACATAAATTTGAAACTAAATGTCACTTGTGCTTTGCAAATCATATGATCTATTTATATACGTGAGCATTGTGTTCTAATTGCGTATTTTACCTTTAAAGTCACTGGTGTTATCTTTTCTTTATTCACTCCCTCAGGCAGGAAGTCTAGCAGAGAGTCCAGCACTATATCTTTCACTATCTGAAACTCCATTTCTCCTTTCAGCTCAGCGCAGAATATCAAGTCCAAATCTTTCCATCCCAGTCCGCTGTCCTCGTGCAGGACGTAGCTGGCCGCAGAGCCGTTGAGGCGCACCTCCCGGACATGTATCCGCTTCTCCTCCATGCGGCTCCGGACCACCTTGACGATGTCTCGTGGCTTTACCTCCAGAGTGGGGAAGCTCCAGCGGCCGTGTATGGGGATGGAGCCGGTGAGGATGGTGTCCAGCCGCTGCACTTGCTCCCAGTTGAGCACACTGAGGCTGATGCTCTCCCCGTCCGAGCTGCTGTCAGCCGCGGCACACTTGACGCTCTCGTGCATGTTAAAAAGAGGTAGACAGAAGGGTGCAAACGGACAAACTTTGCACAAACTCTCGCTGGATGTGTTGCATTAAACAAACGGTAACTTTCTGTAGAACTGGACCTCCAGAGTCTATCATCACGGAACGGTGCAGGACGACGAAGCGGCTCTACGCATGACGGAAAGAACTAGCTGGGCGGTGTTATGCTTGTCCTACTTCTTACATAAAGTCTGCACTCCAGACAAATTCAATTCATGAGCTTTCCAACCGTAAGGCTTAGTCACCGTTCAGCATCTGCTGCCCCGCTGCGCTCTGCTCCGGCGCTTTCGCCAAACTAGAAAGCATATGCTAAAACTGTGAAGCTGGCAATGATTGTTCCTCACACTGTCAGCTTTTCATTATGTCCCAAAGGCCAAATGACGCATCCATCGCATCCAAGAAAACGTCTCTTTCAAAACAAAAGTTCCTGTATTGTTTGACTCACTTTTACGCACGAATTGTTGCGCGTCCCCGCTGTGTAAAAAACAACTTTTCGCGCGACGATTTAAGACTGCTATACGCTCCACTATACACCTCCTTTCAGAAAGAGGTGTGTTGCTGTTTTTTCCCACTACATTTTGGCCTTTGTTGCTCGTTGATACTGCGTGATGCCACAGAGGTCCCACTCCACAGCTGCTGGAGAAGTTGTGAACGGTCCTGCTTCCCGTCTGAGAAGCGTTGGGGCGGGACACTTTGATTGACAACCCACACCCACTAATAGCTGTCGATGCATCCCACAGTTTCTCTTGAATGACTGCAAGCCCGTAGACTGAGGCGTGTCTGGAGAATTGGCGTTTCGAGAGAAAAGAAAACGATTGGTCGCTAAGCATTAACCAAACCCCTCTTTTTTTGCTTTGAATCTATGTGTTGACACCCCTTCTCTTGAAACCCACTCAGACATGCTTTGCATGTTGTGTATTATCAATACGATTACTTTTCCCTTTCATTCAGGGATCTTATTTAAAAAAATAATTGCCCGATATTCAGTTGTGACAGTAATTTAAGAAATACACAATAGATATGCTACTGCACAATGCCTGACTTCCATTGATTGTATAGCATTGTGTAGAATCAAGAATACTTAAATATTGATCCATTATTAGTTAGCTTAGATAACATAATCACAATGTTCACGAATGTCAATCTTCACCACTATAATGTAACAGTCACTCAGTTGCCGTTTAACTCACAGGTGAGGCTGGGAATTTGTTCTAGCTAATGCCCTCTAGAGGTGCCATCATCATTTTGCTCTGCAGGCATTTGTGTGCAGAACTTTATTCAATTTACTTTACAAACTTACAGCAAAATTTCAGAAAACGCTTATTCCATTATCAGTTTAAAATGAGTCCTCTGGGAATTTGTCTCCACCTCTAACGTATATAAGCTGTCTGTCAGTATGTAGGTTATAAGCCATGTACTGTAGTCTCTGGAGGTAAGTTGTCATGGAGAATCGATCAGTGCAGAGCTTGGCACGTATATCTGCGTCACTGCAGACGAGCCCATAAACCAGCTTAGCTCAGATTACCCCTGTATGTGCAGTGACACTCACATTCACAAATACACAAGCGCATGGACACAACTCTACCTGGCTATTGTTAGTTTATGGACACATTAGTTCATGTGAGCAAAGAAATGTAAGAAGAAGAAAAAGTCATACAGAGCACTTTTCATTTCCCTGGGTGGAAAAGCTTAGTGTAGACGTTACACCAGTTTCAAGCCCTGCGACATCTTTCTGACGTGTGCAGAAGATATTTTCACTTCTTGGTTTGGTTTCTTCTGACTATCATAAGGTAGAGTAAAGAAACAAAAACGATGTTAAATTTCAGTGCAATAGAAAATATAAACTTAATTCAAACCCAGTTAACGTAAAACTTTGCGTGTATATTTCCAATGAAAGGCTCCTGCAGGCCTGTAGTTTGACACACAGCAGCGGGCCAGTCACACTAGTCGTTTTTCCCATTCAGCAACAGGCTCAATGTCAGGCTTAGTGCAGGCCCTGCTTACAGTGAAGCAGCTACTTACCTGACCTCTGACTTGTCAAGTGGATGACTACGGCTTGGTTTCCAATGTCTGACGACATCAGAGGATTGGCAAAGGGGATTTTAGTAGGACCCCTTGTCAGGTTGCCAAAAATGATTGCCATCTATTTAAAGATGTGCATGTATGTTTATTATATAAACTGCATATGCATGTAAACATCTATACGCTTGTATACCAAGAGTTTCAGTCAATGCAAAAGATTGGGCCAACACATCTTTCATTCTTTTGTCCCATGCCCTTAAAGACACACTAAAGTATCTCTTTCCCCACTCTCCCCCTCTGTTGTCTTGTCTTTTGCTACAAATACATTTCCCTCCCTTCATCCTATACCGCTCCTCCTCTTTCCCATCCCGTTTTCACCATTCCTAAATGTGGAAGTTCATTAAGAGATTACAGTTAGCCCGTTAGCAGAACATGCTTTCACTGTCTTCCTCCTCACCTTTCCAAGCCCCTTGCACTAACACCTTCTACTATTTTTATTCTTTTGTCTGGATCTCCATTTCTTGGAAAAGATCCATCTGTGATTTAGAGTTTACGCAACTTTCAAGCTGTAACTGATTCATCTAACACATCCTTATCTCTTCTGCTTCTGCTGTTGTCTCTACAAGTTATATCAGAAGATGACTTTGTGACGATACTGATTAAGTATTTGAAAGTCATTGAAACTATTTTCTCCATTTACAAACATCTTCATAAAACATCTGCACTTCTCCCACAGACCTCAAGTGAAAAACAAACTCAGTTTAAGTTGTATAGGTTCATTGAGAGTGAAAAAAAGAGGCGCCTTCTTGCGTGTTTACCTGCTCAGACATTAACATTTGATTCTGATAGAAAACACAGTTGTAGCTTGGCATTGCTTCCCAAATGGAAATTATGTAACCTTTGGCTATTATTTGAAGATAATATAGCTTCTAGGAGTGAATGCGGTTGTTTAGGGCTTTCATTGTTGCCAGTGATTCACAATAAAAGGACTTCCAACCAATGTAGTGCCATATTAAGTATAGTCCAACTAGCAACTTGAGAGGCAAGAATAAAGTTGGTGTTGAGAAACATTATCTAATAAGGGAATATTAGCCGCCCTTTTGCTCTCTACGCTGACCGATTTATTTTCCAATGCCTTCTGAAACGCTAGTATAGGCAATACTACTCATACTATAAACTGAAACCAGAAAACCTCTGATACCAAGATCCAGACCTGCGCCTACAGATGCAGAATCTGTCAATAGAGATTAGACTAGAACAGAAAGTTATATGCAGAATGTATCCACAATGCATAAGGAAGTTCTGGAAAACCCCCAAAATATCATAATATTGCAAATGGCCTCAATGCCACACAATGCATGGGGTTGCCTTCTGATAAGATTTCTACAATAGGCCCTAGCCCACCCTCAGAAACGACACTTAGCAAATAGCGTTGGTCCAGACTGTACTCTTTGTAATATTAACCAATTACAGAAAGCCAAAGTGAATCATCCAATGAGCGACCATTTAAATACAGAAGAGTGTAAAACTTCCTCAAGCAGAACCAGACTCGTTTTTGGGCAACCATCTGTCATGAATGGAAGATGGCTACCCAAAAAATATATAGAATTTCCTGTTCCGTTTTTTAATTTCTGTTATATGCCAGTATTGTCGCCATTGTATTTTATTGTCAAGGAAATCTGAAGCTTGAACTCAGAGTTTCTGGTTATACTGTATATTAAGTTGAGAACCTGCAGTCTCTTAATCTGTTTTGTGCAATCCAGATTCTTTATCAGAATAATCAGAAACAGTTAATACCTCTGCTCACTCATTCTTGTTTACGTTACTTGTGTCACAATAACTGTTGCAGTTGTTAATTTGCATTTTTTTGCAACAAATTATTAATTTGCAAGTATTTACAGAACTTCCTGTTCCTGTTACTGAGGATTACATTCACATTGTCAGCATCATATATATATATATATATATATATATATATATATAGACATATATATATATATATATATATATATATATTATAGACTTAAAGCACCTAATAGCTAGTTTACTTAATGACACTGTAGGAAAAGACAACCTCAACGGTATTTCCAATCAGTTTCAGCCCTGACCTCAACAAGAGACCTTTGTTGACCCCGCACTCAGTATAGTGTAAGCCCCCACTAAACTCTTCCACAGCCACTAATGAGATTCTCTGACGTGCCCTGCACTGTAAGCCATCCTGCAGCGCTCCTCGAAGCTGCTCTGTATGGGAGTTATGAACTTCGTAGAAAAGAAGACAGGGCAGTGAAAGTGAGATTAATAGTGACTTTGCACATCACATTTTCTACCAAAACAAAAAGTAAGTCAAAGGAACACGTACACCTGTGCAAAAATATTTATCTTTTCAGTTTGTGCAAGATTTAATTCATCAAAAACAACATGACAAGATGTGATTACCATTCATTGAAAATACAAGTTACAATGTAAAAAAAAGTTTACAACGTAAACAAGTATTGGAACATAATTAAATTATTAATCAGTAATTCTGGATCATTTTCACACAGGTTGATCCATCATGGCTGAGGACAGCAAACCACTTTGACAGCATAAAAAGGAAGTGAGTTTCTCTATCTGTGACTCAGCTTCCTGCGTGACACTGTGGTTATAGAAGTCAACACCACACTGATGTTTGTGTAGATCTCACCTCCATGTTGAGAAACACACCAAAAACAAATGATGAAAGGACCATGATAACACTGAAATAAAGAACGACAACAAGTAGACTGAAACTCCTGGCCCTCAAATGTGACTAAAAGTCACGAGAGTAACAATAAATAGTTTGTAAGTTGTTAACCAGCTTTTTATTGACAATTAGGGTTTCAGTTGATTCATACTCATTATTTCCCAACCCTAAGTTAGGCCTTCTCAAGTTAGATCAGGAGTAACACCAGACTACTAACCGTATGAAAGTATTTTTTTCTGACATTTTCCTGTATTCTTGTGCATTATTCCATCATACCAGACATATTCAAGCCTTTAAAAGAAATACTGAAATAGAACAGCGAGTTTGGTTTGGTTGTCCCGGTTACTCTGAGACCAAATAACTGACATTATAACACCTTAAAGGAGGGTCATGCATTGTCTCTTATTTGAATTCAAAGAGGATTTCTGTGTCAAAATTTAGTTTTAATATTTTAATTAAAGATATTCCACTTTTGCCAGTACATGTTAAAAACTGACATTTTTAAATTGAACATACAAGTTACTGCATAAAGGGTTATACAATACGATTAAAAATTATACAAGTGGGAGGTTGGGGGTATTAAAGGGGCCCATCATTCTTTTGTCCCTGGGACCGTCTATCAAGTCAATACAGCCCAGCATGTATGCAAACACTGATGTGTGCACAATCAATTGAATTATAAAGCAAATCAAGCAAGTGCTGCAATGCTGTAGAGATGCAAATGTAGGAAAACTACAGACCGCAAAAAATCTCCAATCATGGAGATTTTCGTTTGTGTTGTTCTCTTTTTAAGTAGACAATTCTAATGCAAAACTTGCAATCTCTTTCTTAAAATTAAAAATAACAGATTCCTAGAGCATACATATTAAACACACTTAATAGAATATCACATGCACCTTTTCTAAAATAACAGAAGACAACTTACTCTTTCCTTCCACTTTCAATGGGAAACTGGAAAACCCCTGAAGTCTCATCAAAGGT